TTCAACAAAATCCTCTGCCCAAGACTGGTGTCACTGTACTCACGAACTGCTATGAATACTAAATACAATCATCTGAAAGAGAATATAAGCTGTTTGTCTCGATTACAATGAGATAACAGATAAAAATAAAGGATAGAGGAGACGCCGGGCCTGCGGACGCCTGCAAGGCTACCTCGGGTCTCACTGAAATGAAGCCTGCTCTCACACTACTGATGCTGCTGCTCGAAACCTAGACCTGTGCAAAATAGCACAGAGTGTAGTATCAGCACAACCGACCCCATGTGCTGGTAAGTGTCTAGCCTAACCCCGGCGAAGTAGTGACGAGGCTAGACTGGACCACCACATAAACCTGTGCAGTTATATACATACAGCGGAATCGAAATACAAGACAAGTAACAATATGGGAGGGGAAACATGATGTGGGGAGATAACAGTTTTAACAGTAAATCCAGAGTAACAGTCTAAAGGCAGCTTAAAATTTACAGCGGACAAGAGACTAATACCCAAAATAAACACACTTGTATCAATAATTGTTGCGGCGCGCAACTCGATCCCAATATATAACAACACTGTTGCGGCGTGCAGCCCGATCCATATCGTTTAGCATTGTTGCGGCGTGCAACCTGATCCACAAATATCATTGTTGCGGCATGCAACCCGATCCATATCACTTAGAATTGTTGCGGCGCGCAACCCGATCCACAAATATCATTCAATGCACGGCATCACCCTTCGTGCTTTAACACTCTTCCTCACCCAATCAACAAATCACAAACAAGGGCAAGGGAATAATAAGACAAGAATGGAAGTCCCGGCAAGGGTACACAAACAACAAATAAAAACCCGGCAAGGGTACAACATCAATATCCAACAACGTCCCGGCAAGGGAATAAACCGTTAACTCTTCTCTTTCTTTCACTTTCATCTCAAGTTCACATTATCACTTGAGCCAATGTTCCAAGGAGTTACTTATCTCATACACCTTCACAATTTGTATTTCAACCCGAGCCAATGCTCCACGAAGTTCAAAGATCACAATCTCTTTCACAAGATCTTTACAACATGTAGAAGTCCTCATTTAAGCATGGAAGGCATAACAACAGCCAAACTATTTGCAAAACAAAGACTCATGGTCATGCTAGACACCAATGTATAGATACTCGTCACCATGTCTATACATCGTACTCGATAATTAGCAAGTTACAAATAAGACTCAACTCCTATTCCCTCAAGCTAGGGTTAAACCAAACACATACCTCAAACTTCCACGGCCAATTCAATCCTCAATAACCGCCTTTCCCCCGAATTCGGCTCCAAATCAATCGTATCTATACAATAATGACTTCAATACATCAATAATGCTAAACAACACGAACCCAATACCTAATTATAGCTTTTTCATCATTTTTCCCAAAAGGTCAAAAATACCCCCGGACCCACATGGTCAAAACCCGAGGTTCGAACCAAAACCCGTTTACCCATTCCCCCACGAACTCAAATATATAAATTATTTTGAAATCGGACCTCAAATTGAGGTCCAAATCCCCAATTTTAGAAAAACCTAGGTTCTACCCAAAATTCCCAAATTTTCCCATTAAAATCTTTGTTTTGAAGTTGAATTTATGTTAAAAGATTTTAAGGAGTGAGGAAAATGAGTTAGAAATCACTTACCAATCGTTTTGAAGAAGAAGAATGGTTTGGAAAATCGCCTCTTATATTTTGGGTTTTTGAAAAGTGAAAAATAACTGAAATTCCCATCTATATATACCCCTCTGAAGTCCCAGCGCGGGCCGCGCAAAAAGGGACTACGGCCGCGCTGGCCTGGCCTACCTGAAGACCTGCGGATCATAGCCCTGCGCAGACCCCGCAAAGCCGACCGCGGACCACACAGCACCCACCACGGATCGTGCAAAGGCGACCACGGCCGCACTGGCCCCTCCGCGGCCGCACGCGATTTCTCGCGGACCGCGCTAGAGGGTTCAGAGGCCTGCAATATTTCCTGAACCTGCAACAGCTGATATTTTAAGTTTAAGGCATCCTGGAACCTACTCAAAACTCACCCGAACCCTCGGGACTCCAAACCAAACATACACACCACCTCCAAACCATCCTACGGACTTATCCGTGCGATCAAATCGCCAAAATAACATCATGAACATCAAATTAGGCCTCAAAACCCATGATTTCTTCCAAATTTCATAAAACCTCAAATTATCCATTTCGAGTCCGAAACGCGTCAAACGACGTCTGTTTTAAACCAAACTTTACAGAAAGCGCTTAAACCACATATAAGACTTGTAACGGGCGCCGGAACCAAAATACGGGCCCGATACCACAGTCTTTTAATCAAATTTCATTTTCATTCATTTTCATTTTTCTTAATCATTTCCAGAAAATAATTTCACACAAAAATTCATTTCTCGGGTTTGGGACCTCGAAATTCGATTCCGGGCATACGCCCAAGTCCCATATTTTCTTACGGACCCTCCGGGACCGTCAAATCACGGGTCCGGGTCCGTTTACCCAAAATGTTGACCGAAGTCAAATTTATTCAATTTAATATCAAAATTTAGCATTTTTCTCACAGAATTCATATTTAAGCTTTCCGGCTGCGCGCCCGGACTGCGCACGCAAATCGAGGCAACCCCAAATGAGGTTTTAAAGGCCTCGGAAGTACGGAATGAATAAGAAAATAGGTGATGACCCTTTGGGTCGTCATAGGACCAAACAATCTATTAGTGTCATTCAAAAATAGATTCTCCCCCCCTTTCAATTTATGTGAACCTATTTGACTGGACAGAGAGTTTAACAGCTTGTTTGGATGGTTGTTAGTTGTTGTATTGTGTCGTATTGTTACTTTACATACAATGTTACGTTTGTTTTGATTGTTACTTAGATTTTATTGTATCATATCGTTAAACCCGTCGTTACGTAACAATGAAAAGTGTCATTTTATGAAATGACCGATTTAGTGTGGTAGCGTCAGTCCCTTATTTTTCCCCCTAATCTTGCCCTTCAATATATATATATATATATATATATATATATATATATATATATATATATATATATAATAATTTTACCCCGTACCTTATTTTTTATTTATAATATTGAAAGTTTATTCTTCATAATGTTGGTGCATGACTTCATGAAACGACGAAAAATAATACAATTTATCCAAACATTGTATACATCAATACGATATAGGACAATACTATACGATACAGTATGAAACGATATAACAACCATGCAAACAAGCTGTAAGAAAAAAGAAAAGACTTCTGAATTTGTATTGTAAAATGAGTCACATATATTTTTGTGGCTATAAATTATTGCATAAAGGTAAATTATTTTCAAATATGAAAAGAGATCATTCTTTTTAGCACAAATTAAAAAGAAAACATATTCATATAAATTAAAACGGATGGAATAGTAGTTAACATCAATAACTAGTCTTTTAATTTTCCCTTTTCCTGTACTCCATATGTGAAGAGATCTTAGTGGCCGTTTGGACATAAGAATTGTAAAATTTCAAAAATAGGTGGAATTTTTTTAAGTGAAAATACTATTTAAAAATTAGAGTTGTGTTTGGACATGAATATAATTTTGGATTGTTTTTAAAGTTTTGTGAGTGATCTAAGTGAAAATTTTGAAAAACAGCTTTTTGGAATTTTCAAAAATTCCAAAATGCATCTTCAAGTGAAAATTGATAATTTTATTACCAAACGCTGATTTCGGAAAAAAGTAAAATTTTTTCCAAAAAGGTGAAAATTTGCTTATGCCCAAACGGGCTCTTAAACTTTGGTCGAGGAGACAAATAAGTAAGAATAGCAAGGTCTAGCCAGTTTTCGGACTGGTCATTCAAAAATAGCCAGCGTTTACCAAGTCAATGAAAAATAGCCACTATTTTGCTGCAACAGTGACCGGTCCAGCATAATATACTGGAGTTTGGCACCTGTGTATGAACTTCCAGCATATTATGCTGGAACTCTAATACACGGAAAGTTCCAGCATAATATACTGGAGATTCGAGCACTTGTGTATGAACTTCCAGCATATTATACTAGACCGGTATATTTTGCTGGAACTCCAGTATATTATGCTGGAGTTCTAGTGTATTTATCTTGAAACTCCATTGTATTATGATGGAGTTCCAGCATACTTATCCTGAAACTCCAGTATAATATGCTGGAGTTCAAGTATACTTATGCTGGAACTCCAACATAATATACTGGTGTATTTTCCGGGTTTTGAATAGTATTTTCGCTCAGATTTATCTTTACATGAAAAGTGGCTAAATTTCGATTACTTTTGAAACTGAGCTATTTTTGAACGACCACTTGTAAATCTGGCTATTTTTGAATTTCTCCCGACAAATAACGTCACATTCAATCTATTTAAAAATTGAGTCTTTACTTATATTCATGCCAAAACACTATCTGTTAACCCTACAAAAATATTACAAATAGAATTTACCTAACTCATTTTATTGTATTCACACAACTTTATTCTGCATTTTATACTAAAAAACTAATAATAATAGCAAATAACTTACATTTTTCCTCCAGAAATAACAAGTGACTCTAACGTTCAATTAGTTTCCTAATCTCTTCTTCATTCAAATTAAAACATTCTTAAACTTCTAAGTATGGTTTGGAAAAAATGTATGCTTTAGTACTACTCTTTTAAATAGTAATGTCACTCTTTTGGTCTTATCTCAACAATTAATCATTAGCTCCAATATTTTGATACTTCTCCTCGACTTGTATTATTTAATTTATTTTCCGGAAAAAAAGCATTTAATATCAACAAAATTATTCTTTTGTTTTATGTGAGAAAAAGGAACTATCATATCCCAAATATGTCAGATGTCAACATTTTTAATTCGATTTTTGGAATCGAATCGATACTTTTAATTGATTTTCCCCCTTTAATTTTGGGGCTAATATAGTAAAGGCTAAAGCATTTACCAACTTTATTTATTTAAATCTGATATATTTATATAGTATATTTCTGTAGCCCAGTGATGTGGGTCGCCTCCATTGTTGAGAATACGACCCCACAGTGGATCTGACGCAAAACCCAGTTGGATTTCTTGCTTACAATCCTCAGATCTCTTCTAATCCAATCTTTGTGTAATTGAATCAATCGATCTTCCTCTATTTCCAAGTTAATCCAACAGTAGTTGTTGTTGGATGATAAAGGAGGGAGTCTAACTCAAACATTTAGCTTCAATGGGGTCCAAGAAGAAACTAAATTCGCAGAAAAGTTTTCGTTCTGCTTCTCCAGTTACAGAAATGTCAATTTCAGGCAAGTCTTTCTTTTTCTAATTTTCTGGGATATTACGGGAAAAATGAAACTTGTTGGTGGATAAGATTGTTTCTTGAATGTTGGGTATGTGTTTCTATACTTGTTTCCAGTTAATGATTGCATGTGCTGGATGAACGTGTAAATCAGATTCTTGAATATTTGTCAAGAATTGTGTGTGGTTTAGGCCTTTAGGGGAAAGTCAAAATTTTGATGGATCTCTCATGCTTGAGACTAAACTTTTTTATGATGTGCTACCCCCTTTTTTTTGGATAAGCAAACCTAGTTTTCACATAATTGCATCTACTATTAAGTATCGGCTTGTGGGGTTATGGTGAATTAGGATAGTTGTTATAGATAAATCTTAAAGATAAATTCTTTGAGTATTGGAACGAAATAGTTGATCAGACAAGATTAGAAATAATCACATCATGCAGAAGGTGCAAGTAGCACACATAGAGGACACAATAAGAGAAGGTTGATTGAGATGGTATCGTCATGTCCTATGTCAACCTCTAGATGTGTCATGTCCTATGTCATGCCTCCCGATGCGTTGGTCCATAGATGTGAAACCATGATGATTGAAAGTGTTAAAAGGTAATGAGGTAGACCTAAGATTACATGCAAGGAAGTTTTCTTGAAAGACTTACATTTTCTTGGTTTCCATGAAGACTTAGTGAAAAAATAATGGAATCTTGTTCGAGATTTGAATGTCAGTAGAAAATATAAAGAACTTCTGGCAGTGGAGAACCTAAATGGATAAGGATTCATATAGCCGACCCTTAGCTTGTGATTTAGGCTTAGTTGTTAATGTTATTGTTGTTTGGAATGAATTGGTCTCAAAAAAGAGCAACTCATATACAGCTGCAACTAGTGTGTGATTCAAGTGTATTTGACTGATTGAATCTTGAAGTACGGAGACAAAAATCAGAGAAAATGCTTAAGTCATATACTGGGGCCAGTAATCATAGACTTTCAATCTTATTATGGTTGGTTCAATCAACCAGCTATACATTTTGCCATATAGAATCATTTTTTCTAGATCACTTTTTTTTTGCATGTGGACTATTTGCTTATGTCATTATGTAAGTCTTTTGGATATGGTGTAGAGAAAAATGTATGCTGATACCCATTGTGCACCTTGGGTGATGTGGTCTTCTTCATGGGATTTGAGCAATTCTAGAACATGTTGATTCATGGAGTTGTTTGTTTTAGTCCTTCTGGTTACAGTGCGAGTAGAGTATTGGAGTTAGGAACAGCCTTGGACAGAGGATATATCTGCAGACTTAGTCGCATTTTGAATTGTAATAAATTTTTTGAATATAGCATCGAAAAGGTGACACTAACTAGGAGAAGTTGCAGTTTTTGGCAAGAAAACTTTGGTTATTCATCATGTCCTACTTTCTGCACCCTTGTTTTCATAATCTTATACCAATTCTATCGAAGATTTTCTTGTTTTTCCAATGTACTTAGCCAGTCGACTGTCATACTGGAGGTCCAGTACTCATTACATTAGGTTTTTCGTGTCATTCTCATCATCCCCTTTTTGGGAGAGCAGACATTTGTTTAAATGCTATGGTCATGTGGTCTCCTATCGGCGTTTAAACTTAAGATGATGTATCTTAAACCAGTGTGATTAAGTAGGTTCTCATCTGGATTAGATTAGTTTAAGTTTCATCCTAGTTTTATAGTTTGTTTAGAGATCATCTGCTTCCAGTTGGAGATTAGTGTCTTCAGTAGTCATTGTTTAGCAGCTAAATGTTAAACTAAATGAAACCCGGTATTAGTTTGAACACATGGATCAAAATATACAACATAGAATGATAACTGGCCTAGATTTAAGTTGGTGGAACATATTTTCTTTGAACCGCATCTGTGTAGTACTGTTCCAAAAAGCAATATCTAGCCAATTTGCCAAATTACCTGTAAATCCTGCATAGTATTGTCCCAAGTTTATCATGAAGGTATAAATAAGACCCCCACGGAGTTGGTTGTGGATCAAAAAATTAAGATTCCATTTCTTGTATTGGACATAGTCTATAATAATGTTTTCTGTTTATATCCTTTATGTTATTCTCTCAGTTTCATTTTATGTGTCTTAGTTTGACATAGTCTATAACAATGTTTTATGTTTATATCCTTTATGTTATTTTCTCGGTTTCATTTTATGTGTCTTAGTTTGACTGGATATAGAATTTGTAAAAGTATTGTAGACTTTTGAATCTTGTGCTATTAAACTAAAGATGTGTTTAATGTACCAAAATGCCCTTAGAATCTTGTCGTTTGTAAACATGTCATGTGGGATGTTTGCATTAAAGAGTTGGTATATAGAGAAAGTGGCATTCTTTTTGAAACAGACTAAAATGAAAGTAAGACACTCGTTATGAAACTTTGGGAGTAATTTCTATTCCATAGTGTTGGCTGAAGATGAAATGTTAAGGCCTTCGAAATTTGGGATTTGTGTCAATATTCGCTTCCTATTTTTTGGTAGTTATTTTTTCCCTTCCATTTAGGCCTGAATCTGCTTAGATCGAATCTTTTCTTATCGGCAAGAGTGCCATATCTATTTCATTTGTGGCTAGAGAGCATCGAATGAGACTTTAGTTTGACAATGTATCATTTAAACATGATTGGTGATTTGATGATGATGAGAAACATAATAACTGGAAAAGTACACAATGCATATATCTTTTGAGCATTTCTTCTTATTAAGATGAGAAATTCGAATTGTGCTTTTTAATTCTGAAGGCCTAGAAGACCACTAAATGCATGTGGAGAGAAGAATGAGATTTATAGATATCGAAATATTCATGTTGTTGAACTATGATATATATCTAATTTCTTAGAAAGAAACACCTTTGTAATAAAAAAACATTCTGAAGTAGCTTCATTAGGAACTGCTTTTATTGCAAAACTTATGAGTTATTATCTTTGTTTCCTGTAAGTGATCAGTTCAGTAGGCGTGTAGCCGATGGCAAACTTGTTTTGTTAAAATCAACTCTATAAAGATGCTTACTAATTTTTCACTGTAAAAGGCTTATATCTCCAACCATAAACTGGGGAGGATATCAATAGCACCGATCTTTCACATGTTATCTGAAATTTACATCTTGACCTAGTTATTGACTTATTGTAGTTATTTGTGTACTAGTGCTTTAGCAGCATAAATTCCTACTGTATCCCATCTTTTAAGAATTTTTGAGATTGTAACTTATACATAGAGTTAAAAAAACAAAAAAAAGAAAGAAAAAGAAGTAACTTATAGAGATAAAAGTCCAAAAAGAAATTAAAATCGTTGAGGCTTCACTATTTCACCTAATATTTGGAAGCTTATGTTATAACTCTGTTATGGATGAGGATAAAAAATACATTTTTATTAAATGAATAAGGAAATAAATTAACTGAGAAGTATCGAGAGAAATTCAATTTTTTTGCTGAAAATTGATTGTAGAATTATTAATGAGAAACTTTTATATAGGAACTTTCACTTGACTAGAGTTGAAAATAAGGACATAAAACTTAAAGGTTCTAATTGATATGATAGAATTAAATAGGAAATAAAGTAATTGCACGTCTCTTTATCAATTTGGCTGACCAAAAAAGGAACAACCAACACATCAAAGAAAAAAAAGCTAAAAGTAAAGAAACAAAAATATATTATCTATGTGGCACGTTATAGGAAGGAGAACATGTTCATCATTGTAAATGCAGTGCTTGTTCTATCGGGTCTTTATATTTTTGCATATAAAGTTTAGTATACATTTTAGCCGAAGGCTTATATGTGATGCTCACTGTCTAGGCATATTTGAATGGAGAAAAGAAAGTAAGGGACAAAAATTAAGGGGACAGCATAATTTCTTTGGGGGGGGGGGGGGGTGATGCTCCTGTCGAAGAGAAGTAAGTATTGCTTAAGTTACTTGGCTGAGTTTATTGCCATTGTGTTGCAGATCTTCGTGCGAAGCATCAAAAGGATTTAGAAAATTTGAATCTGTTGACACAGCCTTTCAGAACGCTCAAGCTTTTCAGTATGGCGATGATGCAGTATCTCAGGAAGTCGATAGCATATCTTTTGTCACATCGATGGTGTATGCTTTTCAGTACCATTGCTGTGCTGGCCTTGATTCTGCTTGTGACAACCGACGGTCCTCATGTAAAGGTATGCTTCATCAATTTCAGTTGCTTTTACAATGGAGAAGGATGGTTACTTTTACCATCACCAGAATATATGCCTAGCACCCAAGGGGATGACGATTGTGGTCAATGAACTGGGAAAGGCCTTGGGAGACCAAGGTTCAAATCCCAACAAAGGCAAAAAAACACGATGTGATTTTTTCCATCTGCTTAAGCCATGGTGGACAGAGTTATCTGATAATTATATTGGTGGGAGGTAGCATGTACTCGATGAAGTAGTCGAGGAGCATGCAAGTTCGTTCGAATACCACTGTTATCTATAGACACGCACGCGCCTACCTAAGAAAAAGAACTGTATTGCATGTTGCCGGAAGTTGACAAGTGGTCAACTTATAGCTGAGTTTTCTATTGTTACATCACAAGTGAATTGTTTATTTGGATCTCTTTGACAATTTTGGATTGTTCTGTTGAGTTAGAAGTTGTCAGATACATATCTATTTTCCTCTACTTGTATGATACATCCGATGGTGAAAGGAATGGGATGGATATAGAAGACTACTATAGGCATTAACTAGTTTTAAAGAGCCTTTGTTTGGTTGTTTATGGTACCTCTATGTTGTTTTGAAACTCAAAGACTTATCAATGCTAATTGGCCATTTATGTTGCGATGCAGCATGTTGAGGAGGTTCTTCAATATCTTAGGTTTGGACTATGGTGGGTGGCTCTTGGTGTTGCATCTTCTATTGGCCTTGGTACGTTGTTTGATTTTTTAGCTTCTTATGTTCTATATTGGAGGGAACTATCTACTCAAGTCTCCATAATAAGGAACTTGCTGATAGTATTGGGATTTAACTTGCTTCTTTCTAGTTTTTCCATTAAAAACACTTATAGATCCTCTATTTCGTTCCATGTTGCAGGGTCTGGTTTGCACACTTTTGTCCTCTATCTGGGCCCTCATATTGCTTTATTTACGATAAAAGCAATGAAGTGTGGGCGAGTTGACCTCAAAATGGCTCCCTATGATACAATACAATTCCAAAGAACTCCTCTATGGCTTCGCAAAGATTGTTCAGAGTTTGGGCCCCCTGTATTTTCATCTTCACATGGCACTAGTGTCCCACTTAGTAGTATATTGCCCCAAGTGCAGTTAGAGGCTATTTTGTGGGGCCTTGGAACCGCACTTGGAGAGCTTCCCCCATATTTTATTTCACGAGCAGGTTCGTCTCTTATGCATTTAAACCCATACCTGTGTCGAATATATCTGTTAACACCTCCAGCACTAACTGATTACGAAGCTATTGGTCCTAGTATCATAGGCGGCCATTCAATCTCAAGTCTTAATGGAAATATTGTCCTGTAATTTCAGGAATAAAATAATTTCTGCATGTTGCCGATCTTGTTATAAGCAAATGATAATTTGAAGATTTTAATCTTCAGGGTCCTTGTTGCTAATGTATTTCCATCACTTAATGCAGCAAGCCTCTCAGGTAGTAGAGTGGACGCAATGAAAGAACTAGATGCATGTTCTGAAAGTAATGGATTTCTAGCTACTCGTCTGACTCAAATGAAGCGCTGGTTTCTTTCCCATGCACAATATTTGAACTTCTTCACAATTCTAATACTTGCTTCGGTTAGTCCAAATCTTTATTTAAATCTATCTTGTATTCATCCAGAAAACCATTGCATGGGGGGTAAACTATAGATGACCTTAGTTTTGCATGCGGATAATATGTTCCTAAAGCTAGACAATAGAGCATCGCCTCCCCCCCCCCCCCCCACCACACACACACACACACACTGAAAATAAAGTTGATTTTTTGTTGACCGCAAATATAGATTTGGTTTCTAGTACATAAATATGTTTCTAATCTGCTAATGTCTGGGCAAATCACTGAACTTCCCATCACTGAAAATATGTACTGTTGTAACGGAAGTGCCTTTTGTAGGTTCCAAATCCTCTATTTGATCTTGCTGGCATAATGTGTGGACAATTTGGGATCCCATTTTGGGAGTTCTTTTTTGCAACTTTGATTGGAAAGGCTCTCATTAAAACTCACATACAGGTCAGTCAACTCTCCTTTTCTGCATTTATGATTCTCCACATCTTGGATGCTGTTTAGTTTTGGCTTTAATGTAAAGATCTTGTCATTTGGCTCTTGACGACCTTTTTTGGACTGATCACTTTACGAACGAGCTGTGTTCTTTGACTATCCTTGTGCAGACTCTGTTTATAATTTCTGTTTGCAACAATCAACTTCTTGATTGGGTGGAAACCGAGTTGATTCGGATGCTTAGTTTTATACCTGGTTTTGAAACCATGTTACCAAACATCATTGCCAAGCTCCACTCCATGAAAGACAAGTATATGGCCACCAAAACACCTGTAACTTCAAATATAAAGGTAATAAATACATCTAACTCTCTTTTACATGATTAAAGATTTCTGTTTGTGATATTTCATAGTTCTTTTTTGCTGATTCAACTCTTCATCTTGTCAGGTGGACAAATGGGATTTCTCATTTGCTACAGTTTGGAATGGCGTGGTTACGATCATGCTACTGAACTTTTTCGTTAAGATTGTAAATGCTACTGCACAGAGATACTTGAAGAAACAGCAAGAAAAGGAATTCACTGGTCTGAAGAACAAATCATCCTGAGGGCAACCAGATAACCCTCTTCATTCATTCAAATGGATTCATAGATTTGCTTTTCTTTCGAGCTTTTTTGTCGTCTGTCTTGTTGTCAGAAATAGGGTGAACGAAATGATTGGTAGCTTTGGTGATCACAATGGAAGGCTACTTGGAGACTCGGGACCAGCAAGTCCATTTCAGAAACTTTGTATAAAACAAGAGTAGTCTCACATGTTCATTGACTATGTAACCTGAAGAGGAACATTATTTTTAGGGGTGCCAATGAAGTGCCATTTGTTGACAAAATTGGAGATGAGAAAGTTGGAAACTCATTATGCTCATACCTTTAGAAAGTGAAGATAATTTATAAACAAGAATGTGTTTTTTAAGTATAGCAATTAACGTCCTAGCCTCTTTTCCTTTCCTCGCTCAAAAATTTTATAACAGGTGGTTGGCATGGACAAAAGATGTTCTGTACGTGCGTGTGCTGCATTATTGTTTTAATCATTATTATATTTTATGCTTGGATGTTTGCATGGACAAGAGACGTGTTTTCTACCGTCGTTGTGCGTAACTCTTTTAACTCAATAAGCATGCATGAAAGGAGAGCTCAACGGGGCCCTTGAGGTACTGTTTCTTCCGTCTCTTAAGATCTTTATGATTTGATTTTCATTTATCGGTTTCATGCTTCTTTGCCGAGGGTCTATTGGAAACAACCTCTTTATCCCAGGGCAGGGGTAAGGTCAAGCAATGATTCCCAAAAAAGCAAAACCTCACTAGACCGAGGCCCATTGCTATGGGGACTATACTATATAAGAGAATGACTAAGGTAACTGCCAATAGTTTCTATTGAAAGACAGGGCGTGCACATTACTCCCAGACTCCACTTGTGGGATTATATTGGATTGTTGTTGTTGGTTTCATGCTTCTTTGATCTCTCTTTCTCTTCATGTAACCTAGACTTGGCCAGCCACAAGAAGCAATTTCATAGTGTCTATATTATGTCTATCTTAACTCGTTTAAATCAACATGTAACATTAGTGCCAATAATTAATATTAAAAATCCATCAGAACACCACCTTATGTCCAAATTTCTCATGTATGTTGTATGTTACTTTCTATAAAATAGTAAAAAGTTTCACCACTATGTTAGTTCAGTTTGTCATTCATCTTATAAGTCGAGAGTATCTCTTCCCTCATCGCAATAATCAAATTGCTTTTTACCCTAAAATATGATAAGCTATCTGTCTGGTACATATAATGAGGTTGTCAATTGTGATAAAGGTATCTCAACTCTTGTGCTGCTCTAACTTATATGAATTTTCAACCAACTTTTTATGATTTTCCATCATGTATCTAGAAGATTGATATTGTGGGCCATATTGCCCTTGACTTATATAACAATGTCCTGGGCCACTGGCCCATCAGCATTTGGTTAGAGCTCATTTTTTTTTTGGGAAACTTACACAAATGTCCCAAGTAAGTCTCAATTTTACCAACCTCTAGCCATTAGTCAGATTTACCAAAACTAGCCAAGCACATAAAAATTGAAAAACCAAATAAATAAAGGTTCTTTCTCCCAAAGGATCACATGAAATCTCCTTCCATGTTTTTAAGTCGGATTAGCAACATTAGATGCAAAACGGAAAAGGAAATTTTATGGATGAGGTAGCAAGTAAGGTAATGAATTACAAAAGAAAAATATAATATTCCAAGAATCTAAGCAGAAAAGGAACTTTTTCAATGGGTATAGTTGAAATTCATTGAAAACATATAGATAAGTCAATATAAAAAATTTGAGGAAGATTGGAGGTGATTTGGACTGGTTTGTATCAAAATTCGTAATTAAATCGAGTTCAAAAAATTCTTCCGCGACACATGTATCATGTATCACGCGTGTATCTCATATACATGTATACATGTGATACACAATTGATACAAATATGATACATATATGATACACAGTGTGATGCACATATTTCATATTCAGTTTTTACTTCGAATTTTCAATTCAAACCACCTCACAACTTCACCAAATCATCCCAAAACTGAGATTCAAGCTCCTTAAGATATACCAAATCTATTCTAATAACACCCACTCAAAAGAAAGCAAAAATTTGACCTTTTTTGCTACAAATAGCTAATTGGCTAATATTAATAATATTTTATGAATTGACCAATTTTTGTAATGAGCTACTTATAAATGGACATAGCTGGTAGTTTCCTTTTTTTTTTGGGTGTTATATACACTACAGATAAGTAGGAAAGATTCAAACAGTGATCAAGAGGTAATTAAATTCCGAATTACGTGATAATGCTATCGGAATAGTTGTTTCTTGGGTATTATTATTTTTAGTCCGTGTTAGAAATTTTTACACCTGATAATCGAAAAAATGTATAAATTTTGTATAATTTTTGTATATAACATACAAAATATAGATAATACATAAAATATACAAATTTATACATTTTTGGGCTATTATTTTTACAGCAGTTAAACAGTATCATTTTTTCCTTATTTTTTCTTTTGTCAAAAACAAACACGCCATGTGATTTCTTTTTATTTGCTTGCTGTTTGATGGATAGAATTAGTCAGTATTGTACTAGTAAAAAATAGCAAATACCCCATGAAATAATTGAGATGCGCGTAAATTGATCCGCCACTATTATTACGAGCAAAAATAGTATTAGTTGTTTCTCTGTCGTTGGTCTGTCCCTTGAAGGCATTTAGTTCAAGACACTTGGGGTGTGTTGGTACGAAGGAAAATATTTTCCGGAAAATATTTTTCCAATTTTTTTATGTTTGGTTGGCTTAAATATTTTGAAAAATATTTTTCGTATGAACTCATTTCCTTCAATTGGAGGAAAATGTTTTCCTTATCAAGAGAAGAGAAAATATTTTCCAAAATTCCTTCTCAACCTTCCCCACCCTCACCAAACCACCCCACACCCGCACACTACCCACCCAACCTCCTCTCTCCAAAAAGCCTTTTTTTTTTCTTCAAATTTCAGTTTTTTTCCGTCCCCACCCACCGTGCTTACCCCCGCCCCCGCGACTAAAAAAGCTAGTTTTTTTTTTTTTTTTGTAATTTTCAAATTTCTGTTTTTTCGTCTTTCGGCACCCCCCCCCCCTCCCGAAAAAAATATTTTTCTTATGTATTTTCAATTTTAGTTTTTTCATCTTTCGATTTACAGGTTCCAAATTTTACAAGTTCCAAAGTTATGAGTTCGAATGTTTATGTGTTTGGAAGTTTACGGGTTTAGAAATTATAAAGTTTACGGGTTTGAAAGTTCGTGGTTTCGAAAGTTTAGCGGTTTGGAAGTTTATGAAATTTGTGGGTTCGGAAGATTGTTGGTTCTAAAGTTTATGGCTTCATGTTTATTTGTATCTAAATTATTTATGAATACTCTTGAGAAGTTATTTTCCTTAATTTGCGTACCAAACACCGAAAAATAAATAAAATTACTACTTATTTTTCAAGAAAATATTTTCTTGAAAAACATTTTTCACGGGAAATATTTTTTGTTATACCGAACACACCCTTGGTTAAAACTTAAAAACATTGGGATGTTGAGATTTGTGATTATAGTAGATGTCATCATCACTTGCGTAATCTTTGTTTTATACTATTATTCTATTAATTGTCAGCAATCATCGCTTAAATCACGATAATCAAACCCACAACCATTTGTCATTTTAAAAGTTCAACCCTAATTAAACTTCACACATTGGTCTTCATGTCCACATGGCATAAGATCCTAATCAATACTAATACTATTGTTAACTTAATTATTTAAGAATTAAATAATTATCCTGATTTAAAGCATAATCTCAGTAGTTTCCTCCAGGTCAGATGATTTCATTAACAAAACATATTTGATTCCTATGCCTTCAATAAGAATCCAAAGATAATATGGCGATGTTAACAATTAAACTAATGCATTAGAGATAAGAGTTATCTTCACTTAATAAACCTTTGTCCCATTCCCCCATATTTTATTTATTCATATAGGACAACTAATGGAATATTAATTAGTTGGTTTCAACCTAGGGCTCCCTATAATCGAGATGTCTAATCTCAAATAATCCAAAATGGATATATTCTTGTATATTGTAATTTTATATTTTCTATACAGCCCCCTTCCCCTATAGGGGGTTGGGGCAGGTGGGGTGGGGGAGACAAGAAAGCAACCGATTTTAAAAAATTAAGTAATGATGAATTATATAATGAAGCATGTAGGGTCTAGTAAAATGAATTAATTTAAAAAAGTTAATATAATGGGGTCCAATTTGCTTAGTGACTGAAATGTGGGGACTTTCTTGGTGGGTGATTTCTTTGTCAGGACTCAGGAATCACACTAAGGGTTTAATAATATTGGTGGTAGATCCAATGTTTTTTTCCTATTTATTAAATAGCAAGTAATTTACATTATTTTTTACAAGTACTACCTTTTTGAAGATCTTTTAATTATTTCAAGAGATTTTGTCACATCATAATTTTCTCTATTTTCTTCTTACGTAACCTCCTTTTATTATGTGCTAATAGGCTATACTTTTTTTTTTCATTTTGTATGATTTGTTTTATAGTTACATACAATATTCATTAATCATTAGTAATTCAATTTCTTTTAATTTTATCATATCTCAAGTTTCTTAATTTCTATGAAAACTTAAGTTAGAATCATAATTGTTTTTCTAAACCCAAAATAATAGAAATCCTTTTTTCAGTTTTAAAAAATATTGGCACTATAAAATATAAATTGAATTTAAAGGGATTATATTTGCAAATTTGGTGAAAGTTTCGAATATCTCGTGTGCCATACCCGCCATTTTTTTTAATCTTCCCTAGGAACTCCTCCATTTTGCTCTCATGATGACTCGAACTCACAAGTTTAAAGTCAAAGGCGAAAGGGGCTTAACACTTGAGCAACCCCTCTTGTCCCCGACATCTTCATATATTTGGACTTCTTTTTTTTCAGATTTGATTTTTGTCTCTTTTGGGATGTGGAAGGTGGGAGATTTAAATTTATTATTGCATTATACTTTATTTTACTTTAACATACCTCACTTGAAAACGGCATAGCTTGACTAACTGAATGTTTGAATTAAATTAGTTGAAATTAGCTTGATGGAGATCTAATCATCTAAGATGAGAATTTCCTCAAAAGGCAGTGACCTAGAAATCTAATAATTGGAGTAGTATGATTGATGATAGGCTATAATTACGTATTTTAGTCGCTTATTACATTCTAATTTACTGCACTTTAATTGAGTTTGAGCTTTAATCGCTAGTGTCTTGCGCTAACTGTGTGTTTTATGCCTTGTAGGAGTGATTCCGAGCTATGTAGATGTTGTGGAATGAACTCAAGTGATTTAGAGCTTTGAAGTCTGAGTAAAAGCTCAAGGAATTAAGCCGGG